TCGTCTATAGGGACCTCAAAGTCTATAGGGACCTCAAAGGCTGGTTTCTGGTTCGGTGGCTTCATTTCGGCTGCGCTTGACTGCGTCTTTCGACTTTCTTGGCTATCATCTTCCAACGCACCCTCCAGCAAAGCTTTCTGCTCTGGCGATGTTCGATCGGCTTCTGCGGCATTTGGCAATGCCTTTGTCTTCCTCTTGTTACCAAAGATTTGCAAATTGGCCGCGCCATGCGCATCACCTTTGTCTGCACCCATAAACTGCTGAATGCCGGCCATCATCAGCATCATAGGGTTCACTCCGCCCATGTTAGACTTCATCATGTGATCCATCTGCTGCATCATGCTGCTCATGGGGTTGTCATTCAGACTCACCTTCTTCACCAAACTGTGCGATTTTCTTGCAACCACTTTCGAAGACTCTGCACCAGCACTGTTCTGGGGCGGCGACGGCAGCTCCTCTTCAAACACTGCGTCATATATATCTTTTGGCAGCTTCCCAGGGTTGTCAGGAAACATCACTAGCAAAGACTTCTTCTCCATGTGCTTGATTTTGCTCTTCAACTGCTGCTTGAACTCGTTCACAATCCTCAAGGTGTCTGCTCCTTCTCCCACTTTCATGCCGCCTGGAGCACAGACACTGTTTCCAAGAAAAATCACCCAATGCACACTGGCAAATCAACAACGAAATTGAAAGGGGAAGAGTCACGGCGCCACAAACACTTTATGCAACTTGCAACGCATCCAAGGCGCAGTCGATCGCGGTCTTGATGATCTGCTTGGTGGTGGTCTCTCTGGGCAAGTGAAGGCCCAACTTCACACACTTGGCAACCAACCTCTGGACCTTGTTGACGTTGTGAATATCTGGATCCGACAAAATCTGGCAATCGCTTTCTGTCAAGTAGGCAGCAAAGCATGTCAACGTCTGAAGAGGTCGTCTTGCCCTGGCTTGGTTTCCAGCTGCGGCCCCATCCATTTTGGACGCCAAAGCCTCCGACAGGACTTCGTGGTGCTGGTCAAGCCATGGCCCCTCACCCAGCAACTCTCCCACACGCGCAGCTTCCTCCGGTTTGATGTTCATCTCGTTGATTCTTGTGACCCAAGCTTTCACCTGGTTGTCAAGCATCTTTGTGAACTGCTCTTGTTTCACAGCGCGCTTCTGCGTCCCCAAGAAGCTCTGGATGTTCTCAAGGTCCTGGATGAGCAACTTGCCCGGTGTGGCATTGGATCCGCTGGCAGCCATTGGGAGCTTGCGCGCTTCTGACGACAAAACGAGATGAGTACAGAGCGCGTGTTTAGTCTGACCTTTAGTGATGTTTGACATATCTATAGCAAACACTGCTTTTCACGCAACTGCAACGCTTTCCCGATCTGCACCTGGTGTCATGCACAGAAAATAATGCGAAAGACTGAGCACGGCTGCGGTCATTGATACAACGAATGCATGCGTGCAAACATGCACAGCATGCGGAGTATGTTTGCCCGACGCGCCCAACTCTCAAGACCAAGTAAGAGTGCATCGCAATGAGTGTGAGATGCAAGTACTCTTGCAAGCACTCTTTTACCAATGGGACATCCCAATCCATGGGGCAGTTGATGCAGCATCGAAACAGGACCGGAAGCAGGCGCCCGCCAGAAAGAGCTGATTGGAGCTGCCTGCCCGTTGGTGGTTGAAGTCCGAAGTGTGTCAAGGGCAACACGCCTGGATCAAGTCATACCATCACCTGCCAATCAGCAGCACAAGCAAACAACAGAATCAAGCATTGTGGTGCCAAACCAACCTCGAAGCCAACCCTGATCTCAAACACCATTGGCATCCCCATGCGCTGGACCTTGGCTCACGCTGCAGGCCAAGTTGAAAATGGCAGACATGCAATAACCAAGGCGCCCACCAAGAAGCCAACCCTGATCTCAGACATCATTGGCATCCCCTGCGCTGGCCTGGGCTCGCACTGCATGCCAAGTCAAAAATGGCAGACGTGCGATCTAAGAAATTACTATCACAGTTGAAGTCCTGAAGACACCAAAGGTGAATCTAATGGAGGGGAAACAAACATGGCAATCCGACGCGATGCAACAACATCTGGAAAACAACGCAAATGCCAAGCATCATGTCACTAATACGGTTGATTGATTGAAACCGCCGGTATGATTGAAACCGTCACAAACCGTCAAGCTCAAATCGTGAAGAGGTGGGCCAAGCCTTGTGGGCGAAGAAGATGGAGAAGTGCGGAGGCCTGGTCACACGACACGGGTCACAACAAGATGACGAAATGAAGTGAGAATGACGGCAATATGATGACAACACGATGACAACATGCCCGTGCTCCCACTGTCACTGCCCACGCTTTCTCGACACCCGTGCTACGGTGCACGATGGAGGACAAAGTTTTTGCCACTATTGGGCGAATTCGACTTAGGATTGCATCTGTTGCTACTGATACGAGTATGTCCACAACTAAATGGAGTACCCATGAGCATTCAGAGTCATATGTTTTAGATCTATTGGAAAACAATCTAAAAACTAAAAGCATACCCCTGCAACGATGCAATCCCAAGCAACCACGGGCGTGTTCCTGGCCACCCATGAATACTGTTCAGGCACCTTTCATTGTAAACCAAATCCACTACATATCTATGGAGACGTGATGCATTCAAACCAAACAGAACCGACAAACCAGGCCACACGCAAACACGCCCATGGATTTAGCTAATACTCAAGACTTGCTAGGCATTGCAAAACACAAGACAACAACCTTTGATTGTGAATCAGTCAGTGGTCAATGGTGGTTTCTGTAAACATTGGAGCGCCCTATATTAGTGGAACAAACTGGAACATCAAGATTAGTTGGAAATTGAAAGAATGGTTCCTCGCCCAGCAACTCATCTGCAATGCCCAGGATTCGCAGGCGCGTCGCTCGCAACCAAAGCGCCTCGTTTCTCAGGGTGTGCCTTGCCCCGTTTTTGGTGCTGTCTGGTGTTTGTTGTGTTTTTTTGGGCTTTACATGTTTGCCCTTTGCCACGCGATCCCATTTTGCACCTTGACCGTTGCGTGTTGTCGCATTTTCACCGTTTGGTTGCGCTCTTCAAAACTGCCGCCATGTCCTGGACAGCCGAGATGGTCTGCCGCCTCTCATCTGGGCTCATGCGGGCTGAGCTGGATGTGGCCTTGCGGGGCGACATATTGAAAAGCAGTTACAATGACGAGTTTGGTACGCGCATGCAAACATGTTAAAAGCTTCAACACCCAGCCTCCTCGTGGATTTCGTGGAGATGCTTGAACTGCTCCTCAGGAAATCACCAGTCGAAGATCACTTTCTAGTCACAATCAGACCTTCTTGCACACTTCACGCAACTGAAAATGAATCACTGTTTCCACTGCACGCAGTCGAAAGTCCTTGGCTCGGATCTGGGCTCCACCGCGGGTTCGAGCTCTCGTGCGTGTCGACCCCTCGGAGCGGTACTGCTCGATCTCCCACTCTTTCAGCAGCTTTCCGTCGACGCGGACGGTGCCGTCCGAAAGCCACACCTCCTGAACATGAATGGACTCTCAACGCATCTGAAAAAATGACGCGCGCGACTTGAGCAAACTCTGACGCTGACAAGTTGCCTTCTTCTCGTTGTGCCACTCCACGTGGCTGACCGATGTCTCCGATGTCACCTGTTGCAAACATTGAACCGTAACAACAACCTGCAAACTCAATCCTCATGACAAGAAACTTCAACAAACAATTGCAAACGCGACCAACATAAGTAACGCATGTCCATGCAGCCCTCCTCCGGCGGCGGCGGAGGAGGCAGCTGCCGCTCCCTCTGTCGCTCCATCTGTCGGGGATTGACTTCATGTTCATCAGCAAACGCCAACAGGCTGAAATATGAAACTGCACTTGGATTCACTTGTGTACATACATATATATATATATATGATGATGATGAACGCATTGTAGCAACGCAGAAGCAAATATCACAGCAACGCACAATTATTCAGATCGGCCTTCATCTCCGCCTGCTTCATGGCCAGCTTGAACGCCAGATCTGCCAGGAAGTCTGCCGTCAGCTCCCCCGGCCCAGGCAAGGGAGCGTCCTGGTCCACACTGCACATTGAATGGATGTGGACAATGCGAGCACAGACACGCGCAACCCCCCACCTCCCCGTAGACCAGTCGGAATGCACCGATCCAGCCGTCATCCGGCACATCCGAAGTCTTGGTCTTCTGCTTCTTCTTCGCCTTCTCCAATGACGCCTGCGTGGAGAAGCTAACAATGTAGTCAAATGACCCATGACCTATGCATAAGATGCGCTTTGTGCGCGCTACTCACACACAGCTATCAACAACAAAGCTTTCAGTCCCTTCTGGACACGCCCACTGCCTCGCCACCAGAGTTGTCCATGGCCCGTTCCAAGGAGATGCAGCCCTGCAACGGATTGTGAGAAGAACACAACAAAGAACCATAACTCATCCAAGCACAGCTTTGCAAATCCGTTGCCAAAAGCTCATATGGCCCCATGCCTCCATCGCCTTCGGCTTCCTCCACGGAGCCATGATCACCGCCGGAGCTGCCTGACTGCCATCATCAAATTTGACCATTGTGCTTTTTTGCACAAAATTTGAATTTGATGTATGGATATGTCTCAACACGGCGGCGTCCTTTTTGGTCCACAAAATGACAACTTGGGTAACAAAAAGGTGGCCTTATATTGGTGTGACCCATCATATCCATACGTGCACCACTGTGTGTGTAGTTGAGCGTTTGATCATCGACGGAATGAGGCCGCCACTGGCTTCGGCATCTTCTTCGGCTGCACCTTGGCTCCGATCACGATGACCCCCTCCTCGTCGGTTTCCTCCTGATACCAAGTAACTTCGCACGACAAACGAAGGGAACTAGCATCAGAAGCGCAAGCCATGGTGAACACCCCTGCCTCCGGCGGCGGCGGCGGAAGCGGCTGCTCCTCCATGGGCTCACGCAAAGCTCTTGAGATACCAAGCAACTGTCACAACTCACAAAACACGCAGTAAACTTGTCTCAACACGCATTTTCAAAACTTCAGCAACACACACATAAACATAACTCCAGCAACGGGAATGAAAGTGAAGCTGTCCTTCTTGTCGTCAGGGCTCCATGCGCCCCACTCCTCCTCGCTGCTCCACGAAGCCATGGCGCGGTCTGTGTTGATTGTTGGCTGCAGTGCCTTGTTCAGTTGAAATGCCTGTTTGGGGCGGTGCGCACAACCTATGTGCTCGAAGTGGCTGCCTGAGCCTTGAAAGTTGACGACCATGACACAGTTAAAGACATATACGTCTGGCGCGTTTCTATGTAAATGTTCTAAACATATCATGCGAGTATGAATCTATAAGGAAAATACGTGTTGGTGGATTGGTGCTGCGATAAACAACACCAACAACACAAAGGCAGGCCCCATAGGGGCAACCGGGTGTGACAGTCTATCTATATAGCTGTGTGATGCCTGTAAACACCAACAACACAAAGGCACGCCCCATAGGGGCAACCGAGTGTAACAATCTAATGATGCCTGTATCTGTGGTGTGTGTGTACCCATAGCAGATGTTCAAATGCTGCCTAAGAGCCATCCGTCTGCGGTTTGCAAGCACGCTCACGCACAAGTCACAAAGCGGTGGCTGACTCCCCTTCATCCAGTCCCAAGCGCGCCTCTTGTTGAAGAGCTTGGCATGAACCCGACCTGTCAAGACCGAACGCAACTCAAACACGCCACAAAAGTTCTGCGAAATCGACACGAAACAACACATCCCACTATGTCACCATGGCGCTGGGAAAGCTCGCAAATAGTGCTGGGCTAGCTCGCGCCGCTCAAGGAACGCATTCCAACACACGACCCAGGCCTCATCCATCCTCGATCGCTATGGGAAAAACTCATCTCCGCCTGGCAATGGGTATAGATGGAAACATGTGTTGTGTCACTTCTTTACAATCCTGAAGCTGATCATCATCCAAGACGGCCGCATTTCAAAGTGTGTGGAATCACATGGTTTTAAACTGCAGACTTGTGGGTCCACAAATTCCTAGCTTCAGAAGTTGTGATTCCACAAAAAAAAACCTAATGACACTATTCACAGTTTGTGGGTCCACATATTTTCGGATTCAAACTTTGTGGGTCCACTTTTTTTTGAAATGCAAATTTGTGGGTCCACAAAAAAACCAAACTCCCCATCTCTCGAAAAAAATGACACAAAAAATAAGGGGGAACTCTCGCAAATTTTT